AACTCAGATGCAGGCGGGCCTGGTCCCCGGGGTCTGGAGCTCAGACAAGGCTCCTCCCACCTCTTTGCTAGAGAGTCTCGGACGAGGGAGGGATCTCTGCTGGCCGAGAGGTCAGGGAAGGCTTCCCGGAGGAGGTGACAGTGGAGATGGCCCTTAAAGACGGCACTGGGATATGGCTTGGTGCCCCAGTTCGTTGTGTCCTGGCCGCCACGTCTGTGCTTTTTCCTGCTCTGCCTCACAGTGAGCATGGCAAAGGGGAATATACACTAATTGGATGGATGGATGGATAGATAGATGGATGGATGGATGGATGGATGGATGAATGGGCACGAAGGCCACCCCCAGAGGCCAGCAGGCAGCGGGAGAGGTCCCTGCAGAGCCGAGGGCCTCTTGTGAGGAGTCTCAGGTGCCTAACATCTCTGGCCCCGGGGCTTGTTTTGCTCTGCAGCTGGCCCGGAGGCTCTGTTTATTGTGTCTTCCCCTGTTTTGTAAACCAGGCTGGGTGACCAGAGGTCACGGCACACACTTGCGTGTGGCCGAGGAGCCGGGCCGGCCGCCAGCTTGGCGGAGGCCCCTGGCCGGCCGCCCTCTCCTCCCAGCCCAGCAGGGCCTGCCTCCCGGCCCCCGGCCCTCCAGGGAGCGGGCGCCTGCGGCTGGGAGCATGCTCTTCAGCACGCCCAGGCCTGCGCGCCCGGCGACCTCGTGTCTGGCGAGCACTCCCGCTGGGCCCGTGGCGTGGCTTTTGCTCCCTTGCAATGACATTTTGGTGGTGTTGGTGGTGGTGGTGATTTTTTGTTTGTTTTTTTTTATGTATATCAGAGGGGGAGGGAGAGGGAGGGAGAGAGAAGCATCAATGATGAGAGAGAAACACCGATCGGCTGCCTCCTGCACGCCCCCTGCTGGGGATCGAGCCCACAACCCAGGCATGTGCCCTGACCAGACCAGGAATCGAACCATAACCTCCTGGTTCATAGATCGATGCTCAACCACTGAGCAATGACGGCTGGACACGCCACACTCGCCCACAAGAATTTCTTCATGCCCCTCCTTATAAATTACTTACTTGCTCTGGACAGAAACCCTGGGGCGTGCAGGAAGCGGGAGAGGACATCTTCGCCATCCAGCCAGGGCAGCGACTCTGAGGGCTTCAGCCTGGCATGGGCAGCGGGCATGGGGCTTGGGGTGTAACCACGTCTACAGCCAGGCGTTAGCACACAGCTCTGTCTCCCGCATGGGATGGGGGCAGGTGTAGGATGATAAAAAATAAAATAAAAATAAAGCAGGAGGTCCGGGGACCAGGATTCCACCACCTGGGCTCACGGCGGGGCTCTGCCACACGCTGGCCACGTCCTGGGAGAACGGCCACCTCTCTGGGCCTCTCTGAGGGAACTGATACAAGTGTCCAGAGCTTCCCCCGCTGCTACCCAGGGTCCTGGCAGGGTGGCCAGGGACAGTGCCTGGACAGGAACCCCACCCTTCCCTTTCCTCAGCCCCTCCAGGCCTGGAAGTGCCCCCAACCCCAGTCACCTCTGACCTGGACCAGAGCCGACTAACCACGGTGCCACACCGGCCAGGGCAGAACTCTGGGAGACTTTACTAAGTTTAAATGCTCTTTAGTGTGGTCGTGTTAATTTTAAACCCAAAGGGGAGACCTTTTTTCTTTTTTTAAGTGGAAGGAGTGGTGTCCAGATGTCAGATAAAGTTGCTCATTCATTAAAACTACAGAACCCAAGGCCGGGGCCAGGCACAAAGCATGCTGAGCAGAGTAGCCTACCCACAATGCACAGGGACGAGGGACAGAGGACCAGGGGCCCGGGGTGTGGAGGGGAGCAGGTCGCCACGCTGCTCTGACCTCTGCTGGGAAATGCAGGCGAGTGAGGGGCTCTGCCCAGAGCCCCCCCCCTCCACTCCCCACCCCCCTGCAAATGTTTCCAACACCCCAGGCTCCTGCTGTCCAAATCCTGGCGGGCCCACGTGTGTGTGAGGTGGCACGGAGCCCAAGCTCTCGGTTCCGGGACCCGAGCTCACATCCCGGGACCCGACGCCCCTCCGCAGGCCGCTCAGGTCTGTTTGCAGAATCAAGGACACCGGGCAGCTGCACGGAGGAGGCCGCACACCCCCTCCTGAGGCTGATCCGGGCCCCGGGCCCCTCCCTGCCCACCCACACTGGCTGTGGCCTGAGGGTCACCCTGTGACCACCCACAGAGGGCGTCCTGACTCGATTGTTCTATAGGTCAGGTTTCAGAGCGGCCCCCAAGGGGTGTGGCCTGACCAGGGACAGCCCTCAGCAGCTCCCACGAAGGTCCTGCCCCCATGCACCCACGCGGGCAGGAAAACATTTCTCCTGTATCCTGGGGAGGCGGGGGCGGGGGAAAGGGGCGGAGCCGTGACTCAGGAGGCCCTGACCCTGAGTGCTGGGTGGTCTGAGAGGTTGCACTTCTTTATGGAGCAACTGTTTGTGGGTTTTGTTTTGTTTTGTTTTGTTTTTTAAGAGGTTGAGAGGCAGCCCAGCTGGTGTGGCTCAGTGGTTGAGCATGGAATCATGAACCAGGAGGTCACAGTTCAATTCCCAGTCAGTGCCCATCTCACCACGCCATGCTCCCCCGCCGAATTCCTTTAAATGCCTCTCTGACCGCTGGCCTGATAACCCCAGGATGCGTGAGTCAGGGTCCCGGGAGGAAAGAGGCGCTGGGTCCTATGGAGGGTGGGCACAGATTGCCTGCTGGCGGTGTGGACAGCATGCGGGCACCACAGGGACCCCAGGGCCTGAGCGGGCAGCCAAGGTCCCACTCCACCTGCCTGCCCTCCCGCCTGAGGCCTGAGCTCGCAAGAGGGGGCCTCACCAGCCGGACAAGGACCCTGACAGCCAGCCCCGAGGCCCCAGGGAGGGGGCTGGGAGGCAGCGGCCCCTCCTCACTCCCTCCCTCTCTCCACCTCCTGCTGGGGCCCCCACTGGCCAGACCCAAGGGGAAGCCCAGGGGCCCTCCAGGGTCTGCAGGGAGCGTGGCCTCAGCAGCTTTCTCGGAGGTCCTGCCCCAGGGCACCCACGCAGGCAGGCGGGCATGCACACAGGCACACACACAAACATGCACACACGCACATACAGAAACACACACATGTGCACGCATGCATGCACACACCTCCAAACAGACACAGAGAAACCCTAGAATGGCCTCCTCCTTCCACTTCCCCGGGTCCTCAGCCCTCCGGCCTCTGGGCAGCTGGCAACTAAAGCTTTGAAAACAAGAGCAACGTCTGCAGCCATTAGCAAGCAAGTAGGGGCCAGCTCGGCTGACTCCCCAAATCTGGGGTCCCCCGGCCGGGACCACTCAGTGGGGAACCCTGGCCAGGTAACGCTTGCAGGCCCTGGGGTCCCTGTGCAGTGTCACTGTCCACGAGGAGACAGGGCCCTGCCAGCAGCTGAGGCCTGTGGGCCAGAGGGGAGCGCCAGGGGGCGGGAGGCCTGGCTTCCCTCTGCCCCCTGACCTCAGCACCTGAGGAATGAATGGCTGCAGCAGGTGACCCCGTGCACTTCCTCCCCCGGGGCAGCCTGGCCCCCATGTTCCCTCACTTCCTGCTTGCCAGCGGGGTCCTGTTTCTGGCGTGTCCCATCTCCTGGACTCCCCGGCCTCATCGCCTCCTCCTGCCGCTCAGCTGGGACAGCTGTGCGTTCGCAGACCCCTCGCCGAGGAGGGCTGAAGAGGGCGGCAGATCGGGGTACACCCCCACACACGGCCCCACGGGGCCCTGGGAGAGCCCAGGGGTGGCCCGGGAGGGGTGCAGCCCCGCCTCCAGGTGTGCCAGCCGGGGTGTGGGCCGGCGGCCGCTCTCTGCACCCCTCCTCCTCGGCAGGGTCGGTGTGCAGCGGGCCTCCCTCTGGGGTGCGGCCAGGCGGGAGGGCAGAGACAGGCTCTGGCCCCGGAGCCCGCTGGGCAGGAGGGCTTGCCCCTGTGGCTGGGACCAGGTGAGGCCCGTGGTGGCGGCAGCCACAGCTGGAACCCACCTCCCTCCTCACACTCATTCCGTCCGAGTTCCCGTCTCATTCGTCCCCGTCACATCCCGGTGAGCCTGCGTGCCCGCAGGCCCTGCCCTACACACCACTCACACCGGCACCTGCCCACTGCCCACTGCCCTCCTGCCCACTGCCCACCTGTCCACTGCCCAGCTGCCCACTGCCCACTACCCAGCTGTCCACCTGCCCACTGCCCCCTGCCCACCTACCCACCTGCCCACTGCCCATCTGCCCATTGTCCACCTGCCCACCTGCCCACTGCTCCCTGCCCACTGTCCACCTGCCCACTGCCCACCTGCCCATTGTCCACCTGCTCACCTGCCCACTGCCCCCTGCCCACCTACCCACCTGCCCACTGCCCATCTGCCCACTGCCCGCCTGCCCACCTGCACCTCACACTGGAAGAGCCAGGCCTGGTGGCCTGATCCTGTGTCTCCACATCAGCCACCCCGTCTCCCCTTCCCAGGAGAGGGCAACCCCTGGGGAAGGGGGCGGAGCTGGGCACCTTCTCTTCCTCCTGCCCAGCCCCTCCATGTCCAACCTGGCACCGGGCAGGCCAGTTTGTCTCTGAAAGCCTCCTCCAGGACCCACCCCGGCTCTCCCTGTGTCCACGCTGACCCCACCCACCACCATCCCGTCTCCCGCAGCCATGCCCGGCAGCATTCACACCGGCTCCCCCCGCGGGGCCTCTGCTGCTGCTCCGGCCAGTCCCGCCGCCCTCGGTCCCCGGCTGACGGCTCCGTCCGTGTGCGTGCTGAGCGGCCCGTTAGGTCTCGGGCTGTGTAATGACAGCTCCCCGGAACGGCAGGCTCCCGGCGGCAGGCGCTGGCTTCCTCGTCCCGCACCCAGCGCGGCGCAGACCTGCTGCGGGGAGGACCCGCTCCCGCCTCGGGGAGCACGCGTGTGTTCTGTCTCCCGCCTGCCACTCACCCCCTTTCCCTTCCAGGCGGCCCGGCGAGGCCTCGCTCACGTCCCGCTCGGAGTCCAAATGTTCTCTCCCTGGAAGAGGCCGGTCTTCCTGTCTGTCCATGAAGAGCCGGTGCCCACCACGGCCTTCTTCAGGTGAGCAGCGCCCCTCCACTCCCATCCCGGGGGCACCCCCACCCGGGGACGCTCAGGGCCGCACAGGGCAGCCCTCTCCTGGCCCTCAGGGGAGGCAACAGGTGATGTGAACGTCAAAGGAACCCCTCCCCCTGGGCCTGCTGGGCCGGGGGCGCGGGGAGGGAGGGTTAGGAGGGTGGGGGGGGGGGCAGTGGGTGGCTCTGTGGGGTGTGGGGAGGGGTGTGCAAGAAGAAGACACATTTTGGGGGGTCATATGTGAGCTATCCTGGATGAACTTGGACATGAAGTCAACACCCAGGTGTCCCAAGGAGATGCGCCAGGTCGCCGTGGAGACGGGATGTGGCCAGCCCCTGGCTGACATCTGGTGGAAGGCCAGGACCCTGGAGAGAGAGAGGGCGTGGAGGACTCTGTCCCAAGTAGAAGCAGCAGAAGAGGAGGGTCAGTCCTGAGGGCGAGAGGGGCCAGCCTGGCTTCCGGGGCCTGTGGTGGGTGTGGCCTACGGAGGCCATGACGGAGGGCCTTCTGGGCTGGGCCTGTGGCTGATTCCCACGGATGCCCCCCAGGCCACCCCCTGGCCGTCCTGCAGCCCCGAGCCCACCGGCAGGGCCCCCTGCGGGCTGAGGTGTGTCTGTGGCATCCTCTGGGGGTCCGTGTCTGAGCGGGGCCTGGGGAGCCCATTCCCCGTGGGGCTGCTGGGCAGGCCGGTCCCCGTGGCTGCAGGGAGGGGCCACGCTGGACGGAGGGCTGTCTCCCGGGACCTGCCTGTTTGCCCAGGGCAGGGGTCTGAGGCCCCAGAGAACCCCTCCCTGCTCCCTGACGTCGGGGCCTCAGCCGGACGGCTCAGCAGCCGGTGTTCCCGGGGTGAGCCACTGCGTCCACGTGGAAACGGGCCGTCCATGGGTCTGCGCTGCCTGCCACTATGAGCCAATTCAGCAGAGACGGGGTTGGATCATTCCCGTCTACCAGGAGAAAGGGCGGGCGGAGGGGCCGTGGTCTGAGCCAGGCTGAGCTCTTCCCGCCTGGCATGATATCAAGTTTCTGTCCTAATAAATTAATTACCTGGGGCCAGACCGCGTGAGGCTGAGCGGTGAGTGGCCTCCGGGAAGGAATGTGCTCCGGATCCTCCCATCGCGGAAACTCCACGGAGGCCCGGGTCCAGGCCTCGTGATGGTTGGTGCCAGGGATGGATGCTGGCCTTGGAAACATCCCCTCGGAGCCGCGAGACCAGTTACAGGGGCCGTCTGTTTAGGCGGGAGGCATCCCCCATCCCCCGGACCCGGGAGTCAGGTGCCTGAACAGAGGCTGGGCCTGGCCGGCTGCAGAGCGGGCCCCGTTCCCCCCGTGACTGTGTCCTCCCGCCTTCCGCAAGCCGTCCGAGGGCTGCCCCTCCTGCCGCCTCCATCGTGCCTCCTCCCCCCCACCCCCCCTGGGACCCGGGGGTGTGACCGCCCGCCCCCCACTCTCTTTCAGCTTGGACATGCTCAACCTCACCGCGCAGGCCCTGCCGCCCGCCAACGGGACCCCGGCCCTGGGCGGCGGCTGCCCGCCCGAGGAGCTGTGGGGCTGGCTCAACAGCGTGCAGGCGCCCTTCCTGTGGGTGCTGTTCGTGCTGGCGCTGCTGGAGAACGTCTTCGTGCTCGGCGTCTTCGGGCTGCACAAGAGCCGCTGCACCGTGGCCGAGGTCTACCTGAGCAACCTGGCCGCCGCCGACCTGCTGCTGGCCTGCGGGCTGCCCTTCTGGGCCGTCACCATCGCCAACAACTTCGACTGGCTGTTCGGGGAGGCTCTGTGCCGCACGGTGAACACGCTGGCCTACATGAACCTGTACAGCAGCATCTGCTTCCTCATGCTGGTGAGCATCGACCGCTACCTGGCGCTGGTGAAGACCATGTCGGCCGGCCGGCTGCGCGGCGTGCGCTGGGCCAAGCTCTACAGCCTGGTGATCTGGGGCTGCGCGCTGCTGCTCAGCTCGCCGATGCTGGCCTTCCGCACGCTGCGGGACTACCGGGACGAGGGCCATAACGTCACGGCCTGCATCATCACCTACCCGTCCCGGGCCTGGGAGGTGTTCACCAACGCGCTGCTCAACCTGGTGGGCTTCCTGCTGCCGCTGGCCGTCATCGGCTTCTGCACGGCGCGGATCATGCACGTGCTGCGCAACAACGAGATGCAGAAGTTCAAGGAGATGCAGACGGAGCGGCGGGCCACGGTGCTGGTGCTGGCCGTGCTGCTGCTCTTCGTGGCCTGCTGGCTGCCCTTCCAGGTCAGCACCTTCCTGGACACGCTGCTGCGCCTGGGCGTGCTGTCCGGCTGCCGGGACGAGCACGTGGTGGACGTGTTCACGCAGATCGCCTCCTACGTGGCCTACAGCAACAGCTGCCTCAACCCACTGGTCTACGCCATCGTGGGCAAGCGCTTCCGCAAGAAGTCCCGCGAGGTGTACCAGCGCCTGTGCCGGCGCGCCCAGCCCGGCCCGGCCGAGAGCTCCATGGGCACGCTGCGCACCTCCATCTCCGTGGAGCGGCAGATCCACAAGCTGCCGCGCTGGGTGGGGAGCAGCCAGTGAGCCGGGGCCCGCCGGGGCCGCCCCGAGTGCGCGAGGGTCTTGGGTGGACAGTTGCTCCGGGGGGTGCCTCGCGAGGGTGGCAGTCACTTCCCCGTGAGCCCACCCGCCCGCAGGCCTTTGTGTGCACGACGACGGGCGGCGTTACGGTTCTTCCTCGCTGCACCGCTGGGCCCGTCTGCTCCCTCCCGGGAGTGGAGGGGCCTGGGGCCAGGACAGGTGCCTGAGCTCTCCTCCCCGCCCGAGCATGACAGCTCGGAGCTCCTGGAGAACTCGTGGCCGGCTGAATTTCTGCCTGGAGTCTCCTTCGCCCTCTCGGGCAGGACTTCGCGGGAGGATTCCTCAGGTCAGTGGAGATGGGCCTCGCAGAGTCCCCGTGAGGCCCCGGGAGTCAGGGCTCGGTCACTCGCCTTGCCCGTGGACAAGGAGGCTTGTGCCCAAGAAGAACCCAGTCAGCGCTGACCCAGCGCCTGCGGTCTGCAGCGCTGAGCCCCACGGGCCCGGGGAGGACAGAGACGGCGTGGCCTCTGTCTGGAGGAGCTCACCGGTTCGTGAGGGGGCCACTGAGCACTGGGCCAGAGCAGACGGGGAGGAGCCTGGCGCCCCAGTGCTCCCACCACCCGTCACACATCCCCTGGTCCCTGCCTCGGTTTCCCCCTCTATGACACGAAGTGGTGAGGACTCAAGGAGGACACCGGCACAGAAGGACTTTGGAGAACAATGGTGCTACGTACCTGTGAGGCGTCCTTACGCACAGAGAGCGGGGTCTGGGGCGGCCGGAACCCGGGGGGCCAGGAGGATCTGAGCCCATAAATCCTGCCCCATCCAGCTGCAGACTTCACGCCCAGAAGATTCCCTCCCCATCCCAGCCCTGCCCTGGCCGGCCACCGCCCTCTGCCCGGGAAACAGACGCATTTGTGGCTGGAAAAGGGAAATGGAGGGAGAAGGAGCCACCATTGCGTCAGCGGGAAGCTAAGCCACGCACGTCCGTGGGGGGGTGGGGGTCGAAGGGGCTCCTGTGAGCAGAGCCCCGTCACAGCCCCGGGCCCCTAATGGACAGCTGACCACGTGGGGTCCGAGCAGCGGTCATCCTACGGGAGGGAGCCGCCCTGGGGGTCATGTTGCTACCTCGCCAAAGAGCCTCTGCCCCAGGAGAGCCCCCTGAGCGGCTAGTCTGTAAAGAGGCGCATTTCACATGCAAGGAGAGAGGGGTGGGCGGTGTCCGCGTGTCTGTCCGTACGCATAATAAACGGAGGAGTGTTTGCAGAGTTCCTTCTTTCTTTTGTTTCCGCTCCCGAGCCCCTGAGCGCCCTGGGGACACAGGCGGTCGGAAGGAAGCCGTGGGGTTTCCATCTGTTTCCGCCGAACCTCCTTTAGGGTGTTTGCCCTGCAGACCAGCTTTTATCCCAGGTTGCATATCCTTATAAGTAAAAGAATGTTCGTTACTTATACCCAATACGTGTTCTTATGAGCACATATTACGGTGCATACCCTGGAATACACACAAGTAGAAATTCAAGGGAACCGAATGGATTGGGCTATTTGCCCCGTCCTGCGTTCCTACGCTGGTGACTCATTACCAAGCTCCCGCCAGGTGTCTGTGGGGCCCGAGAGACCCCAGAATCACAGAGATGCAGTGACTCCAGTGTTCATGTGTAACACCTACTTATTATATAAATTTTTGTATGTATTATATGTTTACTAGAGGCCCAATGCATGAAATTTGTGCATGGGTTCTGGGGTGTCCCCTCAGCCCAGCCTGCACCCTCTCTAATCTGGGACCCCTCAGAAGATGATGGATGGTGATGTGAAGACGAAGATGATGAAGATGATGGTGAGGGTGACAATGGTGCCCTCTAACAGGAAATGTTTGGGCCAGTATAGGCCCAAACCTGGGGATTGAGCCTAAGCTAGCAGTCGGACACCCCTCTCACAATCTGGGACCACTGGCTCCTAACTGCCTAATCATCCCTAACTGCCCCCGCTGCTGGCCTGGTCACTCCCAACTGCCCCCCTGCAAGCCTGGTTGCCCCTAAATGCCCCCTCCTGCATCCCTTTCCCTTAGTAGATCTCAGATTCCACCTATTCCCTGATGCATCTTCTTTTTCCTGTCTAGCCCTCGTCTCTACGTCTCTCCCCATTCCAACGTTAGCCACCCCACCTCCCAATGCTCAGTCTCTACTCTGCAGCCAATGACGGCCTTGAAGAATGCAAATACCACGGTAGAGCAGCTGTCATTGTAAAAAAAAAAAAAAAAAAAAAAGGCCGTGTTTAGGAGCTAAGGCTTTGGGACCTGGATTCCAGTTCTGGTTCTGGCTTGGACTCTGATTTGCTGTGTGGTCTTGGGTATCTCACTCATCCTTTCTGAGTCTACATTTACATCCGTAAAATGGGGATGGTAACAATGGCCTCTACCTCAAAGGACTGCTAACAGAAT